CAAACTTGGCACAGTTATTAGCCTACGTACACCATACCAAATGGCCGAAAAATCTTCGATAAATCAGTAAATATTAAAGCTTATTTATTCAAAATTGATGCTTGCAACAATTCTTTACCAAGATACACGTTTATGATACATTTTTGGAAAATGAGCGTGGTACCGCCCACTTATGATCACATATATGTATCTCGGTAACCGTTATACCAATTTGTACAAAACTCGGTATGGTTATTGTGCTTGCCACATAAAAGCAAAACGTTGAAAATTATTGAAATCGGACTTAAATTACGGCCGCTTTTCATATAACGGTAAATTTCAGAAATGCTTGAAACTTCAATATTTCGAAATTTAAGGACGCTTATTTACTCAAAATTGATACACCCCGGCTTACCGTGTAGCGGTAGCTTTCGGAAAGGTGAAAATATATATTTAATACTTGCGCCGGGTATTTAATGTTCGGCTCCGCCCGAACTTAGACTTTCTTACTTGTTTATTTTCTGTTTATTCCAACGTGACGGGGGGGGGGGGTTATATTTAAAATAAATTTTCCTTTAACTTTAAGTAATTCCTCTTTAACCCTTAATTTGGCATGTTTTAAACTGTTAACATCTGAATTCAGATATCGGTTTAACACGAAACTAATAAAGTAGAAAACTTAATTATATAATTTACACAGAAAATTTTCATTTCCCCAAGGGTGACGACGGCTGAGACAACGACGACACCCTCTCTAAGAGATTCGTTTCCCATTTTATACAAACTTTATGTCNCGGACTGTAACCACGCCCATTTCCTATATAACAGTAATTTTCAGAAATACGAAAACTGCGATATTTAAGTAACTACTGAAGATTATTCATTGATATTTACAATAAATTTTAGACGAAAAATATTAATATTATAAATTTTTGGAAAATGGGTGTAGCCACGCCCACTTATGGTTGCATGTGTATATCTTGGTAACCGCAGCACCAATTTCTTCCAAACTTGGCACAGTTATTAGCCTACGTACACCATACCAAATGGCCGAAAAATCTTCGATAAATCAGTAAATATTAAAGCTTATTTATTCAAAATTGATGCTTGCAACAATTCTTTACCAAGATACACGTTTATGATACATTTTTGGAAAATGAGCGTGGTACCGCCCACTTATGATCACATATATGTATCTCGGTAACCGTTATACCAATTTGTACAAAACTCGGTATGGTTATTGTGCTTGCCACATAAAAGCAAAACGTTGAAAATTATTGAAATCGGACTTAAATTACGGCCGCTTTTCATATAACGGTAAATTTCAGAAATGCTTGAAACTTCAATATTTCGAAATTTAAGGACGCTTATTTACTCAAAATTGATACACCCCGGCTTACCGTGTAGCGGTAGCTTTCGGAAAGGTGAAAATATATATTTAATACTTGCGCCGGGTATTTAATGTTCGGCTCCGCCCGAACTTAGACTTTCTTACTTGTTTATTTTCTGTTTATTCCAACGTGACGGGGGGGGGGGGTTATATTTAAAATAAATTTTCCTTTAACTTTAAGTAATTCCTCTTTAACCCTTAATTTGGCATGTTTTAAACTGTTAACATCTGAATTCAGATATCGGTTTAACACGAAACTAATAAAGTAGAAAACTTAATTATATAATTTACACAGAAAATTTTCATTTCCCCAAGGGTGACGACGGCTGAGACAACGACGACACCCTCTCTAAGAGATTCGTTTCCCATTTTATACAAACTTTATGTCAAACCATTTCTTGCATAGCTGCTTTCTCGAATGTAGTTAATATAATTGTAAGGTCCATTTTATGCTTTGACGGCATTATTATATTTGAAAAAAAAAAAGTTTAGCTTGTGGCGGGTGGGACAGTACTTTGTGACTGGTGCATCGAGTCACTAGTGAGGACTTATAGGATTTTTGCACTTTTTTCCACAAAAGCATGAATTTTCTATTAAATAAAATGCGCAAGACCGTTAGCAACAAACTTTAAAAAAATCAACGCCAATTTTTGCAAATCGTAGCTGTTATATAAAAAACGCAAAAGCAGTCACAAAAAATCTCAAAAATCAACGCGATTTTTTAGCCAAAAATGTTTTACAGATTCAGATTAAAAAATCTGGAAATCTTGACGAAAATCTGTTGAATTTTCCTAAATTTTATATAAAGTTTAAATCTGTGATATTTTTATAGAATTTTTAAAGTTCTTTCAGATGGACAAAAACAGGATATACATGTATATTTCTTGTTACGATTGTGAATACAATTTTTTCAGCCGAGTTAAGTTCAAATCATTGAAAATTAACTAAATTAAGTATATCAACAATTTCCTTTTTCAGAAAAAAATCGCTCGCTAAATTTAACGAACTTATTTATTCAAATTATCGTCGCAAAAAATGCAACCATGGGCCACAATCATATGTGTTTCAGAAGAACTGTCACTTTGCGCTCTCCGTTTTTGAGTGATGGATAATTTTTTGGTCTGCACGAAGGCGATTTGGGCAAAAATCATGATAATTCGTAGAAATTCGTACAAATTTTTTGCTCGACGAACAAACCTAATGTAAGTGTAGTACTTAACATATCATATTGTTAACCACTTTTAGCTTTACGTTCTTAAATTTTTTTTTGCTGCATAGCTTTTATTGCTTTGTCATATATCAATAGAACATTTGGGGTATTCACAACGGTGTCGTATATCGTAAACTTTAAACGCTTTAAGAACATACCCAGCAAAAAACACGATTACCACAGAAACGAAAGTGGAAACGAGCTAGGCGATGGGAATCGCTTACCGTTTCGCTTCAAGAAGGCCTTATTTTAACATGGGCATGTCATTGGAGGTAAGCCCTTACCCGCAGCATTACTTTCAAACGAAGGGAGAACGCATGGATAAACAGAATCCAGAGAAGCGAAGAAAGAATGCCTTACAGAGAAACTAATGTAGAATGCCTAGATAAGTACATACTTATTTATATTAAATTGAAATCAGAAAATGTCTTAAAAGCTTAAAATTAATTAAAATTTCTATAAATCAGCGTACATATGTATGTATTTAGATATTTAGATTTCCTTTAAAATCGGTATGTACATACATGCATATTTAATTAAGCTTAAAATTGTACTTCCTCACTCTTGTACGTCAACTCATTGACTGACTTCAACTTCGCTGCAAATTGAACAAAGCAAAACATGATTTTTATGCGAGACAAATTTCCACAGAAAGTAACGGTAGAAAAAGAATTTTTGGATATTCATTCCATTTTTCAGCTGACTACGATGCAGCATTCTACTTTGCATTCCCCGAAATGAAGCAAAGAAGCGAAACAAATAAAATATTGTAGGACATTCTACTTTGCATTCCCCGAAATGAAGCAAAGAAGCGAAACGAATAAAATATTGTAGGACATTCTACTTTGCATTCCCGGAAATTAAGCAAAGAAACGAATTAAAAAATAAATATTATAGGACATTCTACTTTGCATTCCCCGAAATGAAACGAAGAAGCGAGATAAATAAAATATTGTAGGACATTCTACTTTGCATTACTGGCAATGCCTAAAAGAAGCGAAAAAATTCGAAGGCATTATAACGCTATGCCTTCTAGAACACGTTACCACTAAAAGCGATTACCGATTTTTTGCTGGGTAGTAAGCGGTTCGAAAAGTACCATAAAAGTTATATTGGCTGAATTTCTTTATTCATTCTGAACGTTTGGAATAAACTTTTTTGTTTACTTATTCTTTAGAATATTCCTGATGATATGCTAACGTATATTTCAAACGTATTCTGTTTGTTCCGGCTGTGAAATGGGATTATCCGGAATGTATAAAGAAACGCAGCCATTATGAATTTTCGTAGTGTTGAAAAACAGTTGGTCGTGGTTTAAAATTCAATAAACGTTTAATTGAGCTTTTACTGTTTACGACATACAACAATGCGACACTTACGACACCGTTGTGAATCGCTCAACTGTTTTCCTGTAGTAGCGTCCCACATTCCTTACGCTATCCTTTAAGTATCATTCCCCAAACTTCATTCGGTCAATGTCCATAAACTTAATAAAAATAACTGTTCCATCATTTGGAAGTGCTGCGAGTAAAATATTAGCAGCAAAATTCAAAATGATGTTGGCAAGTTATGTTTATTTATTTATTTTTGATAATTTTCGTTTAAAATATGGTTAGATTTATAACAGAAACCACATAAACAAATGTTTCAAAGATTGCACAAAGTTCACAAAAATTTATCGAACTTCAGAAACATTTTATAAAATCTTAAAATTTTTATTCAGAGATTTTAGAATTTTTTTGAATATGCAATTTTGTAGCCCATTCAATTTAAGGACAATAAATTGCAAGTTTCCAGACAAAAAAATTACCATTGATTTTTTAAATTTTTTTAGTTGGGGGTTTTGTGCACTTTTTCCATAGAAAAATAGATTCTGTTCATATGCTGTATGGAAGAAAATGCTCAACACCTCGACAAGAAAAATCTAAAAAATCAACGTTAATTTTTAGTGACATAAAACTTGTACAAAACTGCATATTCGAACATTTTCTAAAAACTCTGAATAAGAAGTTTGAAAATTTTTTGAAGTTTGAATTATTTTTGTGAACTTTGTGCAAGCTTTGAAACTGTTTTTATGTGTTTTTTAATATTTTTTTTTTAATTTTTTTTATAGATCGAACTATATTTGAAACGAAAATTATTAAAAATAAATAAATAAGCAATTCAAAACCGAAATTTCAAAACCGAAAGTAGTGAATATGGACATAAGTGTGTTTATTTTATTTTAGAATTTCATCGATTTTTTTTTTGGCTTTAGATGGATGGCCGAAATGGGTAAATTATCGGATTTCCAACCACACAAGGAGACAGTGGGCGTATTATTTTAAATATCAATACTTGAATGCTGAAGTTAATCAGGGTCATCTACAACTTATGTATTTGCGATTGCGTAGCAAACTTAGAAATTTTTATTCATCGCACTACTGAAAATTTAATTGTATTAAAGTGTTGCATATTGGGCAGATCTGGAAAAGGATGTGGTAAGGTGTACTTGCGAGGAGAAGAAAGAGAAATAGCTTCGAAGCAGCTAAAACACAAATCTGCGAAAATATATCGCACTGAATGAGCGCATAAGCTAATGAAGGAAGGAGAGAAAGAGCCAAGTACAATTCCGAATCAAGGAGCTTTGTGAAACGCAAGATACAGACACGTTGCCAAAAGCCACCTTAATCCGGATCCAATAATATCACTCTACTTGTTAAAATCAAGAGCACTAAAGGAAAGCATTTACAACATCTCGTATTCGCCGTTTTATGTACACTTCGCCACAAAGCACCAGGATACTATCTACCGAAACTTGCGTAAAAACACGAGCTGATTTATAGCAATAGACGCGACTGGGTCATGGGTTTGCCCTTTTAATTTTCCGGACAAACAGAAGAGCAGCCCGATTTTCTTTTTATATTTAATTGTTGATAGAACACCAGAAGTCTCAACTCCTATCGCTCAAATGTTGAGTGACCGCCACGATACAAATACCATCTATCATTGGCTACGGGAATAGATTACAAAGGGTGGTTTGGATTATCCACCGGAAGTAATTTGCGATGGAGTCAGAGCACTTTTGGGTGCAGCCGTACAAACATTTACTCATTCTTTTACCATAAACGAGTACGCTGAGTCAATGATCGATTCTAACAACATCCCCGTGTGCTATATTCGCTATGATGTAGCACATTTAAAGAGGTACACGCAGACATTAAGAAGTCCCCAGGAAAAGATCTCAATGCTTATATGTACCCAGACTTGGTGAAATATATAATGAAAGATATGCCAACATTTTCTATGTGGTCGTGCGTTGTGCGCGATGATTTTGCATATGGACAAGTACCGGCATCCAGTGCCCACGTCGAATCAGAAATAAAAAATATAAAGACGCTCCTCTTTCAACAAGAGAAATTGCCGGTCAGGGTTGACACTTTTGTCCAAAAGCATAACGAATATGGAAGTGGCACTATGAAGGTGTACGACAGTGGGATGCAGACTCTGCAACAAGAAAAATCGGATATTTTGAACTTGACAATGCCGACAGCGATAGTTTGGGAGGACGAAAAAATTATACAGGCATAATGAATAAGATGAACACCAAAGAATGTGCGGTAATCATTGCAATAACTAATATCAATATGTGTATATGGCGCTTTCTGTCGGAACATCACTCCCTAACCATGGCGCAATAATCAGATGAAGTAATAAAACAGCTTTCTCGCTTTATTTTCTGTTATTCGGCTATCTTATGACACATTTTAATGGCACATTTTCAAATAAGTTAATGCCAGATTTTTCTTCTAGCCCTTATTACTTCAGTTGGTATAATTCCACCATGCCCCTTGACACTTTTCTTTTAACTTAATAAATAAAAAAAAATATGTAAAACTCATAACTAGAATTAAGCTTTCTAGTGCCAAGTTGCATATTGACCTTGCAGGCAATATTTAAGGTCATCATTATTTTTTAGCTGATAACTTCCATTTTTTTATCAGGGATCGGGTCTTGAAATTACCTCTAAAATAAGCTTAAAGGTCAACATGGCAGCCGGCATTGGAAGCCTTGATACTTTTTTTTATGTATTTTACATATTTTTTTAAGTTAAAAAAAGAATGGACAAATGGGGGACGTTCAGAAGAAATGCCTCATATATATTAGTATGTGACTTGTTGAAATAATTAATCAAGCTTTGAATAATAAGGTATGTGGCGGGATGCCCGAACGTGATGGCGACGAGCTGATATGCGATGAATGCTCCGGTTTGATTGATAAATCGATAAATCTCGAAACTTCACTCAGCTCCATTTTTAAAGAGCCTTTTAGGGAGCCGATGTCAAGCACCAACACTAATGCTACCTCTACAATCGACTGTCCCGCCTGCAAAGACGAACATCGTCCAGATGGTGCCCATAAGTGTATCGTAAGTTTTATTCTACCTTTTTTCAAACATGCATTTTTTTCATAGTTGCATTTTCGTCCTCAGGTTCTCCTGTTCTGTACACGACCCTGTAATTAAAATACAATTAAAGCGCCTCAAAATTATGTTGTATATATTTTGCAGGTTTGCAAGACGGCAGTTCATGCACTCAGTCAATGTTCTGAACCGTATGGCGCTGAAGAAGGATACGGGCAAGCGCGAATATGTAAACAAAAGTAAAAATGTTGATCATATTCTGCAGTCGAGGATTCAAGAAAATTGACAAACTCAATGCCTAAAAAGCATCACAAGAAAGCAAAGCGTAACTTGTACATGCAAGACACGTCTCCATTGAGAAAATTGGAAGAAAAGGCAGTCCTTACAAAACTCCCTATTATAAGAAATGGAAGCGGTAAAAGCTTGCGTGCGGTTAAGTTCAACAAGGAAAACATTGATGTTGTTAACACGTGTGCTTTTGATGCCCTTTTTCAATTATTTCTCGCCGTATCGTATGACGTGCACATTTTACGAAAACATTGTTGCAAAATATGCACAAAACAGTTTATTTTTTAAACTTATACAGGAAACAACGGTAAACAAAATTACTTCCGATGCATATAAATTGCGTCAACAAATTTTAACTAAGGTGTTTCCCAAAAAAAACAACACGATTTCATATTGCTCCGTAATTTATTGCAGCACCACAACAACGGCGCTATGTAAGAAGATTGTACTCGGGCATGTAAATAAAAAAAAAAAACATCAAACACAATATTGATGGTCCCAGACAAATTCTTAGTTGCTAATAACGAAATAGGCTAGAAAAGACAATATAAAATAGCGAAATAAGCAGGAAAAGGCCCTAGAAATCGCAAAAGAAGGCACTAAAAAAGGCAAAAACCGAAAAATAATCCAAAAATACATTTCTTTTAGAAATGTTTATTTTACAAGTAAAAAGAGAAAAACTAGTTTCATTATATGAAAAATTTGTTCTTTGAATCTTCGGCTATTTTCTCCTTTCGAGTTTTTAACTGACAAAACTTTAATCTCGATAGTTGTTGTAACATTGAACCACAAGATGCATATTGAAATTTTCTGGCAGCATTTTCATTACATTTTCGCTAAAAAAATGCCTTAAATGTACTAAACGTGCGCTCGACGTGAGTTGATACAAGTGGCGCTAAATTTAAATATGGAACATTTAAAACATTAATATTATCAGGAATAAGGGTTTTTTCCCTGCCCTTTACAATTAAAGGTAGAAAAGGCAAAAAAAAGACAAATATCTTAAAAAATCAAAAAAAAAGGCAACAACAAATGTGTAATATGGATTCAGGGAAAGCTAAATCGTGGACATTATTAATCGAAAATACTCTATCTCTTTAGCAGAAAATAAATAAAATAAAAAAACTTCAATATATCACGCTTTTATAAATGGACTAAAAATTAGAAAATAATATATCTCAGTCCCATAGAATTTGTTTTGATTATTTATTATTATTTATGAGTTTCAAAATAAAATGTTATCAAAAAAAATTCTATGGGACTGATATATATTATTTTCTAATTTTTAGTCCATTTATAAAATATATATATGATATATTAATTTTTTTTTATGTTCTTTTTAGTATTTTCTGTATAAAATTTTGCATTACATATCAATTATATAAATAGGCAATCATGTTTCCTTTACACCCCTTTTACGGCTAAACTGTACTTCTAAGGTATAAACAATTATATATCATTAGAAAGGTATTTTGATGCTGATGTGCAGGCAATTTTTAAAATTTCAAATTAGTTTAAAATAGAGCGAAAAAATCAATTCAAAAGTCACACCAATACCAATGCCATACATGTATATGGTTGGGGCGGAAATGCCTCCTAAATGTATGCTTTAATATTGATAGTGAATTAAGGAAACGTGCTAAGCAGCAGTTTAGGAATAAGATGTATGTATGTATGTACATGAATAGATTAGCCTCAAACAAGGATGAGATAATTTTGAGTATGGAGAAGAAGAAAGGGATAAATACAGAAATTAAAATACAAGTAAAGAAACCTAAATATAAAGACAAAGAGGAAGGAAAATTTAAATACCTAACCTAATAACAATGGTGGGGGTGAATATGTTAATGAAGAAAAGAATGGACATATTTAGATCAGGATAAAGGAAAGGATAAAGATGAAGAAGAAGATGAAGACCAAGACGAGGAAGAAGATGAAGATGAATATGAAGATAAGGATAAAGATAACTTATCTTAACTTAACCCCTTAACTTAACTTACCTCACCTCAACTCATCTCACCTCCGCTTAAAAACTTACTCCACCTGAGTTCGATACACATTAATTCACCACACCTTAACTCCCCACACCTAAATCCACCACTACTTCACTCCCCACACCTAAATTCACCACGCCTTAATTCACCACACCTAAATCCACCACACTTTAATTCACCACACCTTAAATCACCACACCCCAACTTTCTCACCACATCTTAACTCACCACACCTTAATTCACCACACCTCAACTTTCTCACCACACCTTAACTCACCACACCTTAATTCACCATACCTCAACTCTCCACAACTAAATTCACCACACCTCTTAAGACCACCACACCTGAATTCATAACACCGTAACTCCCAAACCCAATTCCACCACACTGCAACTCATCACACCCAATTTCAACACATGACATGATATCACTAAAGAAACAATGTAAAGAAAAAGAGGAAGGAAAATTTAACTACCTAACCTAATAACAATGGTGGGGGTAAATACGTAAATGGAGAAAAGAATGAAGATATAGATCAGGATAAAGGAAAAGATAAATATGAAGACGAAGGTGAATATGAGGATGAAGATGAAGATGAAGATGAAGGTGAAGATGAAGATGAAGATGAAGATGAAGATGAAGATGAAGATGAAGATGAAGATGAAGATGAAGATAAAGATGAAGATGAAGATGAAGATGAAGATGAAGATGAGGATGAAGATGAAGATGAAGATGAAGATGAAGATGAAGATGAAGATGAAGATGAAGATGAAGATGGAGATGAAGATGAAGATGAAGATAAAGATAAAGATAAAGATAAAGATAAAGATAAAGATGAAGATGAAGATGAAGATGAAGAGGAAGATGAAGATGAAGATGAAGAGGAAGATGAAGATGAAGATGAAGATGAAGATGAAGATGAAGATTTAGATGAAGATGAAGATGAAGATGAAAATGAAGATGAAGATGAAGATGAATATGAACATGAACATGAACATGAACATGAAAATGAACATGAACTTGAACATGAACATGAACATGAACATGAACATGAATATGAAGGTGTAGATAAACATAAACATAAACATTAAAAGCGATAGAGACAAAGATAGAGAGGAAGAAAGTGATAGGGATAAAAAGGAAATACAACTGAAGAATGTGCGATGTTATATTGTGATGTGTTATGCTACATATGTTATGTTATTGAATCTAATGCTATTCTATGTTATGTTATGCTAAGTACTAAGCTAAACTCCCCTCCACTTAACCCATTCCAACAAATTTTATTTCAGCTCAACTCAACTCACATAAACTATCCTTAATTTTAGCGGTTGAATTTCAACCGCTGGGCGAACACTAGTTAAAATAATTCAACTTGCAGTGGAAAGAGAACAGAAGAATATGCAAGCAAAATGTTGTTTGCTCACGTTTAGTATATGTATACATACCCTGCAGGAAATGTATCTAACTATAAGGTAAACTTAAGTTGATTAGGAAGGAGCTATAATTCACTTATTATCTGTATATTTTCTTTAACGAAAGCTAACTATATTTCTATGGCGATGGCCGCGAAATAGGCATTTGATGTATCTAAATACTTTTGGGCATTAAATATCAATAGGAAAAACAAAGTACTTTTATTTATTTTATTTTTTTTTTATTCATTTACTTTATTTTATTTTTTTTTTAAGAAATGGCGTGTTCGTGCATTTCCGCTGTAGTGCTTTTTTTAGGCGCAATATTTAACTTCTACTGGCGGGGCGACATCTACTTCTAGAGTTTTTCTAATTTGATATCTAGACTAGGTTTGCGATAAATACCTTTGCTATATTTATGGTATAAATGGCGGTCTAGACACACAACATTGCAAGTTGATAAAAGCGTTGTAATCAAAAAGCAGTTTCCATAAAATCCGTTCCCTGGTGATATGTACATATGTATGTACAATGTCCTTATGTATATGGAATGGCCTGTCTAACATTTTTGGTTCTTTACAGAGAATTTATAAAACTTCATGCAAATCAAGTTTTTCATTTGCGAACTTTTAAACGCTGATTTTTAATAAACACTGAAACCAATTTTTTGAAGTGGTAGTTGTTTCCAAATTATATTAGTTCCTTAATGAGTAATCTGCCGACTTTTGTACAAAGCTGGGTTTCGACATAAAATTAGGGCATTTCCATATTAACGCAGTCAGCAAAAAATCCGAAAACCGATCCGGAAAAGGGCAAAAAAATGTGGATGAAGTGCGGATTTTTGTCCGTTTACTGATTCCATTTCCGAATATTTTGACGATCCGTTTTCCCACTAAAGTGTGCGGCAGTAACAGTATGTGAAACGGATACGTCTGATAGAATTTTTCGTTCAATGCGCTTTCCTTCTGCACTTCACAGATACCCTTTCATGGTTCAAAAGAAATAAAATAAAGCTTACAAATACCCTGTAGTCACATGTACCAGTTGTAAACTACCTCACAACTAGTATGAACCGCATGCCCAACTAGTCAGCCAACTATCTTTTTCCAATGAAATCAACTGGTTTAACATGGGGATGTCCTACGAGATGGCAATTGTCAGATTTCGGTGAGAAATATACCAGTCTCATACTAGTTCAAATAGATACTAGTCCAATTATGGACCGAAACCACTACTTTTGGAGTAAAAAAATTGAATGAATTCATGCATATATGTACAATAAAAAAACGCTTGATTAAGTACACTATAATATATTACACATTTTTATTTAGCAGCCAGTAATTAGTGTTAAATTTTTTGAGTATTAATTAACAGGAAAAATAAATTCATAAATATTTCAAACTTTCGCACTTAAATTTATATGTATTTTTTAGTAAATGTTATTAAAATAAAAGTTTTTAGGTACAATAAATACTATAATTTTTATCTTTATAATTAATATTAAAAATTAATAATTTTGTTTATTAATTATTAATCATTAAAAAAAAAAGTTTTATTTAATAATCATTANCTTTCAGGTACAATAAATACTATAATTTTTATCTTTATAATTAATATTAAAAATTAATAATTTTTTTTATTAATTATTAATCATTAAAAAAAAAAGTTTTATTTAATAATCATTATAATTCGGTTTCTTTCAGGAAATTATAGTTTTCAACTAGTATTTTTCCTGACTAGTTTGGGGTTTCACTAATGATGCTGAATCAAGTACCAAAACATTTGAAGTAGGCGTTCATGAAAAATGCAATGTTTCTGCGAGGACTAATAGTCTAAGAGCCAGTGAACAGCAGACTGCATGTAATTTACCAAAGTTCAAATCCTCCTCTAATTGGAAGGTAGACTAACTAAGCCCGGCAACGGTCCATACGGCGTTACGCAGGTCGTAAAGGTAGCAAAT